CCCCACCCGTGGAAGATGGCCCCATGCCGGCGCTGTGGTGACAATGACATGGGACAGTGACATGGGATGGGGACAGGGGATGGTGCCACCAGGTTGGGGACAGTTTGGGGACCTTGGGGACAGGTTGGGGACCTTGGGGACAGGTTGGGGACACCGGTGTCACCTCACCGGTCGAAGATGGCCCCCACGCCGGCACTGTGGTGACAGTGACAGGGAATGGGGACATGGGATGGTGACACGGGATGGTGGCAGGGTTGGGGACAGTGCCACCGGGTTGGGGACAGGTTGGGGATAGTTTGGGGACACTGGGGACCTTGGGGACACTTTGGGGACATTGGGGACACCCCACGGGTGAAACACGGCCCCACGCTGGTGCTGTGGGTGCTGCTGCGGTGACCAGGATGGGGACAGGGACATGGGGTGGGGACAGGGGATTGTGCCACAGGGTTGGGGACAGTTTGGGGACCTTGGGGACAGTTTGGGGACCTTGAGGACACTGGTGACACCCCACGGGTGGAAGATGGCCCCACGCCGGTGCTGTGGTGACAATGACATGGGATGGTAACATGGGATGGGGACATGGGGTCCCCACTGGTTGAAGATGTGGGCGCTGCTGTGGTGACTGGGATGGGGCCACAAGATGGTGCCACACGGTTGGGGACAGTTTGGGGAACTTGGGGAGACTTTGGGGACATTGGTGACACGGACACCCCACGGGTGAAACACGGCCCCACGCTGGTGCTGTGGGTGCTGCTGCGGTGACCAGGATGGGGACAGGGACATGGGGTGGGGACATGGGATTGTGACACAGGGTTGGGGACAGTTTGGGGACCTTGGGGACAGTTTGGGGACCTTGGGGACACTGGTGACACCCCACGGGTGGAAGATGGCCCCACGCCGGTGCTGTGGTGACAATGACATGGGATGGTGACATGGGATGGGGACATGGAGTGGTGCCACCGGGCTGGGGACACTTTGGGGACCTTGAGGACACTCCTGTGGTGACAATGACATGGGATGGTGACATGGGATGGGGACATGGAGTGGTGCCACCGGGCTGGGGACACTTTGGGGACCTTGAGGACACTCTGGGGACCTTGGGGACAGGTTGGGGACACCGGTGTCACCTCACCGGTCGAAGATGGCCCCCACGCCGGCACTGTGGTGACAGTGACAGGGAATGGGGACATGGGATGGTGACACGGGATGGTGGCAGGGGTGGGGGCAGGGGC